CCGTATGATGGGGTTACTTTGTGACTGTAGGGGTTATTTTGTGACACAGTGACTATTGGACAATAGTGATAAAGTGTTGCAGCCCATAGATGGCATGGTATGTTGGGCAAGATTTTGGCGCAAATTTTAGCTTTCCTGTTATCATTGTCATGGAGCGAGATTCAAAATACAAAAAAGTCACTGTATCCCAAAGTAACCCCTACAATCACAAAGTAACCCCATCTTACGGTAATCAAATATCTGGTCGAATATGAACGACCCAGAAATTCAGATTGAAGTAACCCGAAGTTCTGTTTAAGTTAGCAAGATTTTTGGTAGACTAACCAAACATATCTAGTTATTTGACCAAACATGTCTTTTACACTCTGGTTAAATAATCAGACATGTTTGGTTAGTCTACCAAAAGTCTTGCTAATTTAAACAGAATTTAAACAGAATTCGGGTTACTTCAATCTGAATTTCTGGATCGTTCATACCCGACCATTTCGTTAATTCAACCAAATCTTTTCTTTCCGTGTGCTATTTGCCTTTTTGCGAGAGCGAAACAAGTATATAGCTCAGGGACGCGTGAGGGACAAGGAGCAAGGTTCCAGCGCTAATTCAGCCAGAAAGAACAGGTCTATTATATCGGTGGAGCGCGTCATGGCGCTGTACAATCAGTCTTTTATTTATCGCTCGCGATTATCACTCGCCGGGACGCGACGGTGGCCGATAAGGAGACAGGGAGCGAGAATCGCGGCGTGGAAGAATTACGATCGTACCGAGCTGCTCCGATAAACTGGCGCGTGATCCGCGCTACCGAGACGCAATTAACCGCGCTCTCGCCGATATGCACGGCCTGGCGCGATCCTCCAGCCGTGATACTCTCTCGCGCGCGCGCGCGCGCGCGCGAGGCCCGCGACGGGCCCCGGGATCATGCTCTCGCCGTCGTACATATCGTGCGCGGGGTCGGCGAGCGAGCGCCTAACTTAATCCCCCGTTGACTTATAGGGCCCGCCTATGTGGAAGAACAAATGAATAAATTAGGGCGGGGCCGTTTGGTAGCCGACGTACGGCCCTGAAGATTTATAGATACCCAATACCAGTTCCCGCCGCCGGATACACGGGATTCCCCCGGCGTCGTCCTCTTCTACCTTTCCGTGCGTGTGTTATGTCCTCGTACACGGCTACGGAGGAAGGACGGGGGAGAGAGAGAGAGAGAGAGAGAGAGAGAGAGGGGTGGCGCCGTTATTTACTCGAAATGATACTCTCAACGCTCGGCGACGAGCGGCTCTCGTTCGCGTCCTGAGCCCTTCGGGGACGCTCTTCAGAGCACCGCGAGGACGCGACTAGAGGTCTGTTCCTTACAGTTGGACTATCTGGATTTAATATTTGAAATAAGCAGAGGGTTGTAAGACGATTTTTAGACGCAATTAAGTTGGTGACAGTTCACCAAACTGTCAATATTAAGAATAATTACTGATGGGATTGTATAGTAATATTATTAATTTACTATCACTTATTGTTTATTACTCTTAATTATATTATTATTGCGTAAGTCCAGTAATGAGTCTCAATTCTGACAGTTTGACGAGCTCAAACTTTACTGTTTCTAAGCAGTTCCGCAGTCTACTGTATATATTTGACAGTTGGTGGAAGGAAGAAGAAAACAAAGAATTGCAAGATAGTTCAGCCATACAGAATAGATCTTAGGTCGCGTAGCTTGCGCGATTTCGACGAGCAGGGGGAATCCTTGACGTACCGAGATGGATTTCTTCCTCTGAAGAGAAAATAGAAGGACCGCGAGCTGGCGGGGTGCGATCGAAATGACGGAGTGAAACGGGGTGTCTTTCGTGACGGAAACGGGATCGTAGGGATGGATCACAGCTCGTCACTGGAGATCTCGACGGTGTACGAGATCTCTAGCTCCTAGGCGTGCCCTTTGCGCGATCACCATAACCAATAATATCCCGAAAACATCGCGTCATGCGACGATGACTATGCAGACGCGAAGACTAATCCCTCCGTGAGCTTACCATATTTTTCCATACAATAACGTCGTGGTCGATCGGTCGTTGATGCATTCTTCGTCTACTTTTTCTTCTTCCTTCTCTTCTTCGTCGTCGTTCCTATCCTTTTTCCTCTTGCTTCTTTCCCCCCTCCTTCTCTCTTCCTTCTTTCCTATATCTTCCTGTACTTCTTATTTATCTTTCCCTTTTCCTCTTCTTCGTTCTCCCTCTCTCTTCTCCTTCCTGTGTCTTCTTTTCTCTTCTATTTCGCGTGCTCTCATGCGAGTTGCGCGAGCCTCTCGCGTTTAACTTCACCTTCTATCCCTTCGCGTTGATTCCTACCGTTGTCCCGGATGGATTACTCTATCTCTTTCTCTCTTTCCCTCCCTGTTTCCGACCTCCCTGGTTGGTGGATATCTACTTCTACTTGTTCCTCGTCGGCACAAATTCAAAGAGGCCCGAGTCATTTGTACGGAGTCGGGAGCCGCGCGACTGAGACATCGAGATAATCTCGACGTAATCTACCTTACGAATCGTGATACAGAACCCTAAACCGAGACTCCGGGCCTCGGCGGAGGGACATCGAGCGGCTGAGTAGTATGTTAATGAGGACAGGGAAGCTGCCGGGTCCTCGCGCCCGGAGATAGTGAATGAATCTCCTCCGTCGTCCCGGCGGGATAAAAATACTTCTTTCGTTCCGTGATCGCGGCTAACCCGCGATACACCGCGAGATCGCGTCTATTAGCGTCCATGCGTGTCCGCGGGTTCTGTCGAGAAAAAAAGAGAAGAAAAGAAACGTATGTCATCTCTCTTTAAATCTCTTGGAGTGAAATCTCACTTGTAACGTGAATAAAAATTTGGTCGGAGCCGCGGTGTGAAAATACCGCCACTCGGCATCACAAGAGTGAATGATTCGCTCAAATCGTAGAGCGGATTCCTAATCCATGCGAGAGTGAATGTTTCAATTAGAATTTCCTCCTGCAAACGATCAAGTATACCGTAAGATGGGGTTACTTTGTGACTGTAGGGGTTATTTTGTGACACGGTGACTATTGGTTAATAGTGATAAAGTGCTTCCGGCTGTAGCCCATAGATGGTATGGTATGTTGGGCAAGATTTTGGCGCAAATTTTAGCTTTCCTGTTATCATTGTCATGGAGCGAGATTCAAAATACAAAAAAATGTCACTGTGTCACAAAGTAACCCCATCTTACGGTATCAGCGTCACTCCTCAATTTTGGATTCATTCGACGATTCCGATTGGACAATTCACTCTGTACACACAGAAAAATACATATTGCATTCAAGTAAATGTTACTTGTCTCAAATATTTCATAAGCTCATGTATCAGCAAATCTATCATCGTAAACACCTGATTTATTTAAAGTATATTCTGAATCCAAGTAATTTCTTCTCAATCGAGAATATTAAATCAAAGCGTAAAAAATTCAGTTTGATTATTACATAGAGTCGAATAAATTTTTTCTTTCGGCAAAGTTTTATAATATTTTTGCAGGAAGAATAAAAATTCTTCCTTTGATTCTACAATTATTAGGGGGGAAATCAGGCTGGATTCCAATTAGATCCCAAAGTATTTTCTATGCCGGTTTTCATGAAAGCAATCGTCTGTTCTACGTAAATGAAAGAATTTAATTAAACACGTCATCAGCACCCACCAAAAATAAATATTCACCACAGTCTTATTATATATTTTTTTCTCTCAATGCAACGCGTCTCACCTCTCGCGTCTGTCATGCTTCGTGTTCGCAGAACGTTCGGCGCGAAATGCGCGAAATGCGGGCGCAGCGTGGGCGCCGGCGACTGGGTGCGAAGAGCCAGGGAGAGGATATACCACTTGGCCTGCTTCGCCTGCGACGCCTGCTCCCGTCAATTGTCCACGGGGGAGCAATTCGCGCTTCTGGACGCGCGGCTGCTCTGCAAGGCCCATTATCTGGACGTGGTCGAGGGTAATAACACGTCCTCCTCGGAGGACTGCGACTCCGAGCACGGCGGCAAGGGCAGCAAGACGAAGCGCGTGAGGACGACCTTCACCGAGGAGCAGCTCTCGGTGTTGCAGGCCAACTTCCAGCTGGACAGCAATCCCGACGGTCAGGATCTCGAGAGAATCGCTCAAGTGACCGGCCTGAGCAAGCGAGTCACGCAAGTCTGGTTTCAGAATTCCCGTGCGAGGCAGAAGAAGCACAGCGGCAAGATTAAGACGCAGAGTAAGTTGCCTGCTTGTACATACAGGGGAGAGACCGGGGCAGGTTCGACCAGCGTTTCGTTTATCTATTTATTTGGAAGAAACGCTGAAAAGGAGTCGCGCAATGTTCCTTTTTGAACATGAGGGCTTTCCTTTTGGCTCGAGGCTGAGGCGGTATTTTTCGTAACATTAATCAGAAGATTCTATCAAGGTCCCAGGCATATGTAAGGGGAAGGGAGAGGAATATTTAATATTCAAAATATTATTCTCATGGAAGAAACAGCCGATTCGACATGACAGATGGCTACCACACGGAAAATTCCTTATAGTAAAATTTATTTATATAATAAATTTATATTATTATTTATATAATTTATATAATTAATAAGATCAATTTATATAATGAATAAAATTAAATAATAACATTTTCTTAAGGAATAGATTGACATTCTACAGTTGAAGATTGAAGATCCTGATTGTTTTAAGAAAATATGTTATATATTTCTTATTTGGAAAATATTCTATATTAGTGTAAATACAACAGTAAAAACACTTTATATTGAAATTTGCTCTCAATGTACTCTCTTAAAATGAATCAGTGAGTAGTTACTGATATCAGTTATAAGTATAGCACTGAACAGTTTCAGTGCTGTATTTATAGCTGCAAATCAGTATATTTACTGCTTTCAATGATGTTCCACTGATTCACTTTAAGAGAGTGTTTACAACGAGATTTACTACACGTTTCTTTGCAAGATAAATCTCTTACTGAGAATCTATTCCTGCACTACTATAAACATCGTAAAAATTGAAATATAAGAAAGACCTACAAAAACTCTTTCCGTGTAGAAAACACGTTACAAATTGAAAAGAATTATTATGAAAAAATATCACAATATATTCTCTCCGCGCGCGCGTGTATATATGATTTAAAATAAATCACTGGAATTCAAATGACTCGGTTGTCAAGTGACCATTTTTTTCCGAGTTTAAAAGTTTAATCGCAAGAGATTTAGGGAATAAAGACAAGGAAGTTTGCGACTTCGTTTTCACTGTTTTTCTCAATAAATGACGAACCTGCCTTAAGTGTCTCACGACGGCTCGACATATTTGGCGTACATCTCTAGTAAAACTCGTCCTTTCGTGTGCTCACAGTGCACCATTCGCCGCCAATGCAGCATCATCACCCGGTCGATCTGTATCCCGGCGCAGTGAACGTGGTCGGCGCTTATCTGGGCGGTTATCAGGCCGGCAGCGCCGGTAGCGAGAGTCCAGGTAGTCCATTAACGCCTCTCACACCACTCACGCCTCTCACACCGACTACGCCGAACCATTTGCAAGCGCAATTTTGCCATCCCGCCGGATAACTCGACGTAAAAGCTTGCTTCTTACCGCAAAATCGCCGATACTGACGGGCGAGTACACGCGCGCAATCGGTGCGTGAATCTCTCCCCTCTTAGCAATTTCAGCAGTTTCCTGCCTTGTACATATCGTGAGAATGAAAAAGAAGAAGTGTAAAGTAAATCGCGTTTGATATTAAGACATATCGTAATGTAAAAGACACGGAAAGTACGGAGATCGTACTGAGACTTTAAGCTACGCTCTTATTTATTCCAAGCTCGACGCGACTCGACCTTCTATATACTCGCGTTCACGAGTGAAATCTCCTCGACGAGATACGGGCGGTTGAAGAACAACTGGGAGGAAGTGAGGAGCGACTTGAGCAATAACGTTATCGCATCCCTCGTACGCGAATCATCAACATAGATAGATCTTTGAGTCCACGTACATTGTATATAGCTCTAGCTTTTGTACATATACCATTTACTTCTTAGAGAGATGCATGTGAGAATTTTATATTGCTCCCACCACGCGCACTTGTCGCTGCAATATTGTAAAACACGCCGTTATTAATAAAACGCCATTTGCTGTTACAATCGTAGCAATGACTTTCCTGCCACTCGCCTCTCTTGTATTCCTCCTCTATTCGCCTCTCTTATATATTCCTCTTATCACCCACCGACGTATATCACGGATACGTGTTACAACGTCGGGGACAACGTCGCGCAAAAAAAAAAAGTCGAAAGGAGAGATTGCATCGGGAAGCAACAGGATTCGTTTCTCTTTTTTTTTTGTTCAACGTGTGCAATTGTTATATATTTATATATATATATATATATATATATGTATATGTTTAGTTTACAATATTTACATCACAGTACATTCATATTAAATGACAGTTCTTTCACGTTTACACGACTATCGAGACGCTACGAAAGATACTTTCATTTGAAGCATTGCTATAGGACACGCGAAATTCCACCGACTCCGCGAGAATTACGTCTCCGATGACGTCCGGGAGATACGTAACCGTCTCTCTTTCATGTTTACCGAAGGAAGAAAGAGAGAGACAGAGAAAGAAAGAGGAGTGCATGGTCGAGAAAGAAATATATATCGAAATTTTAAAAATAAAACAATTTCCCGCGGGATCATAAAGGTTACAAGTCAAAATGGTGAGTATACATAACTTTGAAAAAAAGTAGCAAAATTCTAAAAGTGGGACAACGTCCGAAAAAGTCGTCATCTCAAAAACTAGGTACAGAAAAAATCTCCCCGAAATATTGAAAGCATGAAGTTGTTGTCAAAACAATTTACCAAACAACTTTGTGGAACAACTTCATCCTTTCTGTATTTCGGGAGATTGACTCTCATTTTTCGAGATGGCTTTTCGGGACAATTCGGGCATACTTTCAATATTTCGAAAAACATTGTATTCACAGTTTTCGATTTGTGACTCTTTGAGATGTTGTCCCACTTCTGAAACTCCGAGATTTTGATTTTTTAAGGTTATGCATATTCAACGTTGAAATTTGAATACTGAGACAATACAGTTCCCGGCATAATGCAATTTTACCGAGATACTGGAAGCATACAATTTTCGCGAAAAGTCATGACACCGACTATTTCAGGATAGTACTTTTGGCAAATTGTCTCGTTATACAATCAGGTGCGTTAATATCTTCTAATCTGAGTAGAGGAGCAGATGGTAATATGAAACAGAGCAGTAACAAAGTAAGGCTGTTTAAACGATTGCTGCGATCTTTCAATAACTGAAATAAACATAATCGTTACTGGCCACCAAATAGTGGCACCAGAGCCACGTTGTTTAAAGTGTTAAGAGAAGCCGCTTTGTTCTCTTGCTCTTAAAACTTTCCACAAGGTAAGATTAAAATAATGGTTTTTTGTTTTCATTGATAAATCTAACATATTAGCTGTAGATTTGTTATAAGATTAAACCGGTTAGTGTCGATTTATAAGATTAAACTTCGAAATCGCAGAATTAGTTATTTGGAAGCATTTTTCCTACTTTGAGATTCATTGGAAAGTAGCGATGATCGATAATATGGAACAAGGGATTCCATCTTACATTTCCACGTTTTATGTAGCGGGTATAAATGTGTATAATGTTTTTATTTGACCTTTGTTCATAAGCTTAAAGGACCTCCACATCGTTTTAATTATTGAGCTCAATTTTCTTAATTTTCACAGCTAGTGTTTTTATTTTCATTTCAGTCTGTGATTTTTACATTCAAGGAAATTTAATCAAAAAGATAGTTTTAACGCCAACAACTTTATAATAACAAAAAGTTTTTTTTTTTATTTTCACTGTTTCATATCACCATTCCATTTTTTAAGACCTTATTTTTTACACCATGTTAAAAAGATTTTGTACTCTTTGAACAGTTTTTTCCTAATGATTATGAATACATTATAAGTGCTAACACTCATAATATATTCATAATTATAAGTATGTGTACTAACACTTTGGCAGTTATAGATGCAATTATTGCATTTAAAATTAGATTTTTCGTCTAGAAAAAAAGAGGTCTATATATTTTTTTTTACCCTCTCCCCTACAGCAGGAGTATAGACAAATGGACAGATATAATACAATTATGTGTCCTGTTTTGTAGTTCCTCTCCGGAACAATTATATATTTCAGAATATTGTTTCACCAATCACATTTCGATTTTTTTATTACGAAAATTATATCCTTCATATATTTCGGTATTCGGATTTTAGTATTACGATTTTTCGGAAAATTGTCCGAGTTTCCGAGTCCCGATTTTTCGAGACATTGCACATTTATCGAATAAGAGAAAGAGAGAGAGAGAGGGGATAGAGGAAGAATGAGAGTGGTGGAGTGCAAAATTATCGAACACAGTCAAAGAGGAGGAGGTAGACAGAGAGATCGATGCGTAGGACGAAGTTGTACGCGCACACGCGCTATCAGACACGCACACGTATACCAGATACGCACACACATACACACGCACTCACTCATTCACTCACATCGTTCTCCTTCATTTATATCCGCCGCCTTTTTTCCTAGCTGTGAATATATATATATTGTTCGTGCGCGGAACATACGAAACAATACGTACGCTCACACTAACCGCTTTTGACAAGCTTCAACACCGAGAACGCAGCATCTATCGCTCCCGAGCGTGGTCTGAGAGCGCGTCATCGAAGAGTAATAACGCGACAGAGCGAACTTCCCACCTTGAGGATAAATAAAAACGGTACCTGTGCTTCGAGGCGTGTATCTACCTTGACACTTTTTTCGTTAAAGCAATGCGTGTATTTACAATATGCTGAATCGAGCCGCGGTCATTAAACCTCGTTCGGCATGGACAACAGCATCGAGTCCTGCGAGAGCTCGTCCATCGACTGTTCCGAACCTGAGAACAGAGTTAACGAAATCGCGATTACGTAACCGGTCCCGCTGGCATCCCCGATTAATGATCGTCTCCTGGTACGGGCTTCTTAATCCTGCCGATAGTCTCTTACGCGATACTCGGTCCGGCACTATGGAACGCGTTCCGTGCGATTTCTTACCGTGATTATGATAAATGGAGCCCGTGGGACTCTTGCACGTGGCCGGGCTAAGTTGCGGCTGCTGTGGCTGCTGGTGCTGTTGTTGGAAGGAATACGTCAGGTGCAGGTTGATGTGACGGCCGAAATCGTTGGGCGATGCGGTGGAGTTCGGTGGCGATTGGTGTACTGTGAAAGAATAAAAACGACCCGATTTTCCTCGATGTTCGTCGCAACGATCGTAATCTTGACGATATTGTAACTAACGTTTAAGTCGATGTGTTCTCACGTTTCAAAACTCGAAACCTCTAACGTTTTTAGTTTTCAGCTTTCAGTATTTTAAGCGTTCTAAATCAGAGAAAGCCCCCTTAAGGAAACACAACTGTCGCAAGGTTCTCGCGAGATAAGAGGAAAAGCGTCTTACCGTGCTGGCCTTTCATCTTGCCCGTGTGCAGGTGTTTCTTCTGCCTCGCTCTCGAGTTCTGGAACCACACTTGCGTCACCCTCTTGCTCAGCCCGGTTACGTGCGCTATCCTCTCGAGGTCCTGACCGTCGGGATTGCTGTCCAATTGGAAATTCGCCTGGAGAACAGAGAGCTGCTCCTCGGTGAAGGTGGTCCTGACCCTCTTCGCCTTGTTACCGCCCTTGTGGCCACTCTCGGAGTCACCGCCTTCTGCGAAAGTACCAATTAGTCCCCCAGCTCCCCTCGCGCCATCCACGTTCCATATCCACGTGGATCCGTGTTATCCATATCGATAAGGAGCGCGGCCGCGGATGGTACATTGCGGCATGTACGCGGGACATTCTCACCATCGGAGGAGGTGTTGTTGCCCTCGACGACATCGAGGTAATGCGCCTTGCAGAGCAGTCGCGCGTCCAGCAGCGCGAATTGCTCGCCGGTCGACAGCTGACGCGAGCAGGCGTCGCAGGCGAAGCAGGCCAAGTGATAAACCCTCTCCCGGGCTCGTCTCACCCAGTCGCCGGCGCCCACGTTGCGTCCGCATTTCGCGCACTTCGCGCCGAAAGTTCTGCAAGCAGCAAGCGCCGTGCGAACGACTCGCTAGTGGTGACCGTAAATGCAGCTGCGTGTCGATTGTGCAAACGTAAGGTAAGTGCCGTGACGTCTCGGATTTACTTTGCGCCAAGTTATAGCCGATGCTGCGACCGCTCGATCAACGGCTACGGGGTGCAATGATAACCGCTCAAACATAACTCGTGGACCCGGGAGGAAGAGGCGCGAAGGCCGGCCGAGAGAGGAGAGTGGCTCGAGAGAAGAAGAGCCAGAGAAAGAGTGAAGGAGAGAGAGAGAGAGCAAGAGAGAGACTAGAGAAGAGATATTCATGTCGAGAAGCAAGTGGTCTTCAGTGGCGCGTGTTTCGCGGCCGTTTATTTCTTCGCTTCTCTGCCCCTCTCTTTCTCTTTCTTTCTCAACAGCGCTTCCCCCCGCCACGATCACCGCCTCGGGAAGGATCCGTGTGGTATCGTCGTATACCTTCATGACTCAGTGTCTTCCACGTTTAATTCCCGTACGTGCTCGCCTGCAACTCTGGACTCTTGCGTTTTAATTAACCCCGAGATTGCAAGAGAGAAAGAGAAACAGAGAAAGAGAGAGGAGCAAAGGAAGAGAGAGAGAGAGAGAGAGAGAAAGAGAGAGACCAGAGGATCATACAATATGCCCGTTGCATTAATTAGTTCGAATTATACGTCGACCGGATCGCACTATCGGGTATCCATTCGACTCCTCCGCGTCGCGTAATAAAGTGTGTCGGTTTGCTCGCGTGTAAATTCACCAGGGATCGATTCTATATATAATACCGCGCACGTTTATGCAGTCGGCCGCGTCGCTGTAAACGGTAGCCGTGTAGCCACGGCGAACACAAGCCTACTGCAAACGACACACGCACATGCACGCACGCACGCACGCACGCATCGAATGAATGGCCCGACGACGAGGAGGAGGTTTGCATCTAGGATGCGCCCCGCGACGGCGGCGGCGACACGACCAGCGCAGCAGCAGCAGCATCCGCGAAAAGGACGGTCGGTTGTTACCTCGGCTTGGCATGGCCGTGGTCGGCCGTGTCGCCGAGTGTCGCGGCCGATAATTAAACAACGACTAGACGGCCATTAGCCCATTATCATATTCATGAACATGGAAAGTGCATCCGATCCGATACCCTGCCCCTTCCCCGGCCAGTTTCTCCCCGCGGATCCGACGCACCCCGCGACTGTGCCTGTGCGAATTGTATTTGCGAATGTGCCACCGGACATCGTGCGCTCTGCGGATGTCTTATGGGTCGCCACGCGACTACCCCGGTGGTCGTTGGAGTGGTGGACTGTGCCCTCCCGCCACACCCTGCTGCGGATGTCGTCGTATTCTCTAAAGTACAATCGGTGTATTCCTCACTGAAATGCTATATTTACAACTGGTGCGATTATAAGTACAGCACGGCAATCAGTGAAATCTCGCTGAAAGAATCAGTTAACCGGTTCACTGGTAAGCGCACATATACTACACTGAGAGAAGGATTTAGTAAATATTATCAAAATTTGGTTACTATTACTAAAAGGTAGACGTAAATGTAGCGGGCCAAAGCTATGGCAATACTTATTAATTAATTTAGCTCTGTAAAATAAATTATTTATTTGACAGAAGTAAAATTTATTTGCTTCCAGAATATATTTGGTAAATAAGACTTATTGAATAGTTGGTAGACGTAAATATAGCGGGCCAAAGCTATGGCAATACTTATTAATTAATTTAGCTCTGTAAAATAAATTATTTATTTGACAGAAGTAAAATTTATTTGCTTCCAGAATATATTTGGTAAATAAGACTTATTGAATAGTTGGTAGACGTAAATATAGCGGGCCAAAGCTATGGCAATACTTATTAATTAATTTAGCTCTGTAAAATAAATTATTTATTTGACAGAAGTAAAATTTATTTGCTTCCAGAATATATTTGGTAAATAAGACTTATTGAATAGTTGGTAGACGTAAATATAGCGGGCCAAAGCTATGGCAATACTTATTAATTAATTTAGCTCTGTAAAATAAATTATTTATTTGACAGAAGTAAAATTTATTTGCTTCCAGAATATATTTGGTAAATAAGACTTATTGAATAGTTGGTAGACGTAAATATAGC